CCCCAAAACCCCAAAACCCCAAAACCCCAAAAGGATTGGATTATATTGAAGGATTAGTGCAATTTGGTCATTTTGGAGCCGATGTGAGGTTCTATGCCTAATTCATGGGCTTTTCTCTTCCTTTGAAGGGGATCGGAATCATCGCTTTTTACTAGATCAGAGGTTATTTCAAAGCTATCCTCTTGGTGTTCCTCTATCCTAAAATCTGTGGCGCAACGCTCACGAGCATTCTTGGCTAAATTTTTATGTAGATTATCCTTTTCATTATCGCTAAGAAGACTGCTTCCTAAATCTAGTGAGGAGGTATTTCCATCGCTTAGGATATCATTTAGGTTTGTATCGCTGATTTTTTCAATTTCTTTCAACTTTTGTTCATAGCTAAAATTATATCAAAAAGTTACATTTGTGCAGTCTTTTCCTCCTCATGGGCAGTGGATAGGTTTGTATATGGATGCATTAAAACTGGGTTTAGCTTTTCAGTGACATATTTTGGTACAGGCTCAGGCAGAGCACATTCGAAATCAGCATCAGATAACTCTTGCAATTCTTTTTCCATTTCAATCTCTTGTATCTCTTCTTGATTCATAGCTTCATCATAAAGTGGGAGGTTCTTATATTTGTCCTCTCCTTTCTTGACACTGGAAAGGAATTCACTAAACATGAGTGAATTCTGAACTTTAAGAAGCTTCTCTTTGTCCTCTACACCTTCAGAAGGATCTGGTAAGCCAACTTGATGCTTCTCTTCTTCCTGAGAGTTCTGAATGTTTGACTTAGGAGGTTTAGATACTTCCTCTTCGTCACTGCTGGTATCACTTGAATCTGAAATTGCTTCATCAACAATTTGTTGAGCAACGACTTTGTTTGTTTCCATACTTTTATTCTCTACATCTTTAGGATCACCCTCTTCCGATTCAACAACTGTTTTCTTAAGGTATGCGTACATAGAGCTTTTATTTTTAGCTTTGATCTCACTTAACTTCAGGTCTAGGTCTTTCCTCTAAAGCTTAGGTTAAAAGAAAGATACTTCTTCTCTCTGCTTTTCAATTTCTTGCTCGAGGGATTTTTTGTTAGTTCTTTTGAAGACATATTCTGACTTGGCATTATCAAGCACGTTTGATGAAATCTCTGCCTTTCCCACTAGAATCATGAGAGTTTGGGTGATGAGAGAACTTACTTATGTATCCGGAAATACCCGAATCAAGAGTTTTATCGTTGTGGAGATAATAGACAGTGACGTTAGAAGCTAGTTGACCCACTCTGTGCACCCTATCTTCTGCTTGGGTGATTATACCTGGAGTCCAATAATATTCGGCAAACACTACTACATTTGCTGCATGTAGGGTAATCCCTTGATATGCAGCAGTGATAGAGAGAAGAGCTATTTTTCATTCCTTTCGCTCTTGGAATTGTTTAATATATTCATGTCTCTTAGTTTGGGAAGTAGATCCATCTATTCTAATAAAATTAATCCTTTTATTTCTTTATCCTCTCTTCATAAGCATTCATTACATCTTGGTGATGGCAAAATAAGAGGAACTTGATTCCATTTTCAAGTAAGGTCTCAACAAACTTGAACCCTCCTTCAACCTTAGCTATTCCAGATTGTTTGTAAAGCTCAGATGCTGGATTTTTAGTCTCTAATTGGGAGTCATCGCTGAGTAAAATTCCTTTCTGAGCAATTCTGAGAAAATCATTCATTCCAATTTTTGTTCCCTGATCTTGTTCGAATTTTTGCCTAAGAGCATCACTCATTTCAAATAGTTTATTTTAATTCCTTCATATCCTTAGGAGAGATCTCCACAATCATTTTGATCCGATTCTTGGGAGGAAGTTCCTTTAGGACATCCTTCTTCATCCTCCTGATCATGAGGTGCTTGGATAACAAATAATTTAGTTCTCCCAGGTTAGAAGCTCCGTTAAGGTCTTTCACCGCTCTCCTTCTTCCACCTACATAGATGAGCTTCGTTTTAGGATCACAATATTTTTCGCCAAAGTCTAGAATTTATAGTGCAGAGTTACCTTCAAATGATTTGAAGACATCTGGTCTGAGGATTTTTACTAAATTGTACAACTCACAAGGTCTCGAAAGTAGTGGAGTTCCTGATATAAGGATAATCCTCTTCATTGCCTCCAGTAAGGGTACGAGATTTTTGGATCTCTTGCTCTCTCTGTTCTTTAAAGCATGTGCTTCATCACACAAGCATACCTTAAATTTAAGCCTGGCTATGTCATCTCCTTTGTTAGTGGCTATATCGTAGGAAATAATGTAGATCTATGAAATTAATAGTAAGCTAAACCTTTTTGCCCTTCTCAAATTTATCCTTGTTCTTATGTACAATTTGGATATCCTCTTGATTAATGTTATAATCTTCCTTTCCTTCTGGAACCCATTTTAGAAGCTCATCTTGCCAATTGAGTTTGAGTGAGCTCGGACATAGAATCAGTAGAGGCCAATCAGAGTGGTAAACTACTCCTATTCAAATTGCTTGGAGAGTTTTACCGACTCCCATCTCATCTCCTAGGAGAATTCTTCCATTATGCTTTAAAGCAAAAGTAATTCCTTCTTTTTGATATCTTTTTAGTTTCATCCAGGTTTCCATTGGAACATTAGATGCTTCATAAGCATAGTTTTGGTCTAAAAAATTAAACTCAAATTTACCTTTATTGTAATCATACCTCGGTAAGTTATGCGACCTAATTAATCAAAGCAGAAGGTTACCTCTTGACTGTGAATGGAATAGGATATCTGTCAAGAGCTTTGGAGTATTCATTAATAACTCCAAAGCGAACGTCAAAGTTCCAGGCTTGTTCATTCGAACATCTATGGTTATAGAAAAGCAATAAAATGAGTTCTTTTGAAGAATAATTAACTTTGCAAACTGTAATTACTATGATAAAAATATAAGAGCATTAGTATCTAAACTCAACTCTTAAGCTCTTTTGACTACACTCAAAATTACCTTTGAATGAAGCTCTCCAGTTTGGGTATATCTTTCTCTTCCATTTCCCACCTAAACTTCTTCCTGGACCTTACCTCCTGTTATCATGTATCCAGAATCAGACACCTGAGGCCTTAACGGCACTTTTGATCTCGTCAAAATACTTCTTTGTGAAGTTGACTGCATATCTAGTAGTTCCCACTTTTTCACAGTTGATCTTTTCCTGACCGTCCTTTTTAGATCCGGATCCCTTCTTCTTTGAGTTTTTACGAGACTTTCGAGGCTTGGGTTTCTGTTCAGATTTCCCTCTAAGAAGTGGAGATTTGAACTTACCCTTTACGCTTTTTGAAATAGTTTGCCCACATTTAGTCTAGCTTTTTTATTTTTCAATAATTTACATAAATTGCGGGGTTTTGGGGTTTTGGGGTTTTGGGGTTTTGGGGTTTTGGGGTTTTGGGG